ACCACCACCACCACCACCACCACCACCACCACCACCACCACCACCACCACCACCACCACCACCACCACCACCACCACCACCACCCCAACCGCAACCGCAACCGCAACCACAACCACAACCACAGCCGAAAACACCTGGTTTGGTTGTGTCCTAAAAACACACACTATCACTCACTCCTCATCTGACCACGACCGACCAATCTTCAAAATATTCTCCGAGGCAGGTCGTGGCGTGGCGTCTGAGCCAGGTCGTCAATTGAAATGATGAAGCTCTTTCAGGGTGGGTCAAAACCTTCTAGTCCATGTTCAATGGTCAACTGACTCATTGCCTCCTAGAAATACCAAACGTGGCCGTTTTGTGCTTCAGCAAGCAAGTGCTTGGGTGATTCGTTCTGTCGTAAAACAGGTTGAAGCAAAAGATCTGCCTCTGTGATCCGGCACGGTTATACTCCATATAACAAGCCCAGTGGATTATATATGTAAGGGGCCCGGGTCTCTGCATCTATGGTGTTTGTCGTTGGAACCACTGGTTACCAGCTGCAGTAGCAACATGTAGCAACTGGATCGACTGGGAAAACCTGACCGATTTTGACGAACACATCACATGGAAGCGAAGGGGGCGTGGTCCGTTGGAAGACTACATTTCCTCAATCAAACAGGGGGGGTCTACTTCTATGTGACGCGTCGTCTGTTTGTTTTCGTCACGTCTCGGAGTACCATTCAAACTCACGTCAAGTCCAGGGCATCTCTTCATCCGGAGAACTGAAAAACACAACATCCGCGGTCCCAGCAAGGACGCTACGAACGGGGCTCCTGGCCATCGCGACTCGAACGGAGCGATCTCGGACGCTACGGGGACGAGCAGAACTGCTTTCCGCTGCCGCTTCGGCACGGCCACTTCGGCATGTCCAGCACCTTCAATCTTCACTCCCAGCTCCGCAGCTCTTCGCAGTGATGGGGAGGAGACACCAGCAGAGATGAGCACATTGATGGCATTGTCCACCTCATGAACCTGCAGATTCGTCTGCTTCAACGAAATCTTTTGCCGATTTGAGTCACAGATGAAGTAGAGGGTTCAACCATGTTCAACCACCCCCCAACAAAAAACTAGCTGTCCACTGAGTGGAAGGACACAAGAACTGCACTGCATGTACCTCACTTCAGCTTGGGTCTCCGCCTGCGCCCAGCCCCGAGGAAGATGCCCAGCCTGGTCACCAAGTTCATCCCAAATGTTCCGCAAGTCATTGGGCTCGGAACACGAGGCAAACTGTATGGAGCCCTTGTACTTCCTTCACCAGCGCAAGCGATAGACAAAAACGACCACCGGACTTGAAGAAACACGCAGCACGGCTGAATTAAGGTCAAATGTATTGGAAGTCAATGTCGCAGTCAGTTGTGCTTTAGCGGAAAATGGTTCTTTTTCAGGATGTGTGTTTTGCTGGAATGACTTTGATCAACCCCACAATCTCAACCAGAGTAATTCTACCAGGACCCCCAGTCGGGGTGGTTCATGGACACCCCGAATCACAGCTTTTTTGGGGAGGCTATAAGTAGACACCCCGACAGGAGGGTCCTGGTATAGCTTTTTGCCCCCCTTCACCCGGTGCTTCGCTTCAGGATCGAAGATGTCCTATAGACAGCCACAAGCCCCTTACAACGGCCTAGAGTCCTAGTATTAACCTACATCATGCATGTCACACACACACATATATATACCTCGAAGCACCTGGGGCAGAAATTTCTGCCTCAGTCCGATTTGCCCGGGAGGATTCGCGGATTTAGGGGAAATCCACGCCAGGTAGGAATTTCCGCGCGGGCAGCAGGGAATTTTTGCCTCAAGCAAAATCCAACATAGCAATTGGAAAACCACTGCCTAAGACCAACCAGGTTGTCTCTTCCATGATTGCAGACAGACCACATATCGTTCTGCAAGGACATAGCTTCACATCTCAAGATCAGACACCCTACCATTTTGACACTTCTAAATTCATGACATTGACAAAGAGGCTGCGACATATGTTCAAGCCCTTCGAAGGCATCAAAGGCACTGTTCTTGAATCCCGCCTTCTACCAGGAAATTCCGCCGGTTTCCCGGGTATTTCCGCCGTTTTCCCGGGTATTCCGCCTTTTTCCCGGGTATTTCTGCCTTTTTCCCGGACATTTTCGTGCCAGGTGTTTTCAACTTTGGACTGATTTTAGTCCTTTTGTGCTCATTCTGCACAAGAAACCTTCAAAAACAAAGACACATATATGATATGATGGTAGCCCGATTTGCAGGTGGAGGTGGAAACTTAAGCGCTGCTCATTGTTTTTCTCATTGCGGTGACCGTTCCAGTCAGAAATGCCCAATGTAAGACACAAAAATATTCAAGTCCTCTAGAATTTATGTATAGTCTTTGTCTCACTGGATTCCTGAAAGGGAATATTCGCGGCAACAAAAACATTTCCGCGGCAGCTGATTTCCGCCCCAGGACGGGAAGAGCCGCTCTTCCCAAAAAAGGCAAGACTTTCTGCCCAAAGGATCTTCTAGGTATATATATATATATATCCATCACATTCCATCACACCCCTTATCCTAGAAGGAAGGACTACTAATTCCTAGTTGCTCAAAAACACCTCCAAAGGACTACCCTCATCTAGGATTCCTGTGGGCAACATGTCTGACCTCCCAAAAAGCCGCAGATCCACCGGTATGATGAATGAATAATAAGTTGACCGACGGTACAATCTCCTAAAGAATACGAAGGGAAAAAGAGAGGACGAACATATATTGCCCAAGGGCGCTGTAACCAGGCTCGTGGGTGCTCTAACTGGGCGCAGCAGCTCCCAATCCCTCTGAGGTAGGGGCATTTGGGTGTGCATTAGAGGAGATCCATAGACCCCGTGCAACTCACAACCGCCACACCCCGGACAACCGTTTTCCAAAATTGGCCCCCATCCCACTCCGGACCAAGACTCTTTCGGAGCTGTCGGCCTTCGTCTTCGATTTGATTGCTCCGCACGCGGTCGCACTCCGCGACCACGAAAAAAACTCAGGGCGGAGGCCCAGTATAAGTGATGTACGAAGGTTTCCATGGTGTCAGGGATGTTCTGGAAGTGTACCCGGAAGGGGTTACCCAGACTTTCCAATGAAGCAAAAGCCACAAGACCTACCTGGCTGCAGTTCTTCTAAAGCACTTCCAGTTAAGCAACAAAATGGTCGACGCTAGCAATGAATTGTGTAAACAGCACACTCGGAGAATTGATCTATAGTATCAAGGAATGAATCAAGGATTATCAAGGTTTGGACAAAATAACTGTGACAACAAATTATCTCTGTCATAGTCATAATCGGAAACCAATGGAACCCAAAGCAACAACCCCCTGATGATCTTCTACCAGGAGAAAAGCGGACTATGCCAGGTCAAAGATCATAGTTGGCTATCAGCCGCCAATTGGATCTGGTACAGGTACTTATCATAGCTGCAATTCCGGCCACGACAGCTGCTTCCAGCTTGAGATGCCACGCTTGAGATGGTGCAATTGTACCTGCGGGCGATGACTAGAACGCCAGTCAACTTGGCCCGTCAAAGCTGCTGGGCTGCTGAAAACCACCAGGAAACCTAATAAAACCAATGATAAAGAATACCAGGTGCACAACTCCCAGCTGATTAATAATACGATGTGCACAACTCCCAGCATCTCCCAGCTCTGTATCTAGTTAGTCTAGCGCATCAGGTACCTGTAGACGCGATGACTTCAGAAACAAGATGAAACAAGCAACGGCTGCCAAAGAAGTGGTTTGACAGCCCTTCATGGTTCAAACTAAACCAAGTCGACACAAGTTCAAACTGTGAAGCGACATTCGACTGTTGAACATCGAACTCCCCGATGTGAAGAGGCTAAGCCTCTCGGCTCTCGGCTCAATGGAGCCTGGCCTATCGTCAGGCCCAGGAGAATGGGCATCATGGAACTCATCAAGGTCCAAACCATGGGGCCTTAGGAGCGAGCAAGGACGCTACGAACGGGGCTCCTGGCCATCGCGACTCGAACGGAGCGAGGACGGGACGCTACTAAGGAGCAAGCCCCAACTGGGTGCTGTGGCAATTTGGATGATCTTCTCATTCTCCGAGGCGACGTAGGCCTCATAGCCGCACCAAAGGCGACAGTAGACGCTCTGGTGACGATTGGGCACCACCAAGACATAGCGAGACGCTTGTAGAGCCAAGGCGAAGGGTGAGGTCTTGGGCGACTGCAACATGGAACCAATGTTCAAATTCTGTGGGTTCGCCAGCATGCAACACCACGCGTTGTGCGCTCTGGACGGCCACGAAGTGAGCACTTTCGAGAGAAATTCGAAGATGCCTTCCTGCCAAGCGTGGCTCACAAAAACATCACAATCCAAGCCCTCTGGATTGCGCATCAAGGCCCAACTCATCTTACCAGCTTGCGCTGTCACTGGCTTAATATACATCTCATTGACCACATAGATGCTCGGCCCAAACTTGTCTTCATAGGGGCTTTCGTCACTGTCCTCACTGTCGCTGCTTCCAGAAGAAATGATTTGACCCTCCTGAAGCGGCGGGTTGTGGAACAGGTCCACCCTGCTATTGGCAATGTACACATGCCAAGTCAAGTGAAGCATGCATAAACCAGTTGCTGGAGGAAACCCTTTCAGAGCCACTGCTGTCCAAAATGGCAAACAAACACAACTTATTGTTGGCAAGATGAGTAGTCAGTAGTCCACACATCACAGCCAACTGCAAAAGACAACATGAGCGAACGGAGCCAGCAAACAGTGCCTCTTAAAGTCGAAAAATGCCCAAACCCCTTTGAAAGAACAATTGAACTACTGCAACTGTATACATCCAAAAGGTTGGGGGCTCCCTCCCTATTCTTCCTGCACACCCAAATAGAAGGAACACCAAAACGCCCCCAAGAGATCAAAGCAAGGAAAGGCTCCTGAATCGCATGAAAGACTTGAGACCTGAGATACTTCAGATCTGCCCGGTTCACACACCATCGATCCTTACTTGATGAACGAGTCTGCCCAGAAACTTGGATACAAGCCGTTGAAACAGTTTCAGGTTTTTTTTGTATCAACTTTGGATATTTGATGCTACTTGTCATCTTACATCTATCCTATAACTGATGTTGCAAACAAACAGTGTATCACGCACCCTTCCAAAAACCGAGGTTCAGGCGTCACACATTCATGCATACTCATTGCCTCCAGGGTCGTCGTTCGCCGTCCGGTACGCGAAGGGAGGTGGCTCGTTGTAGTCGTTCTCCCAGACGTGCCCCAGGAGAGGGCAGAGAGGACTGAGCCGGCACGTGAGGTACTTGGCTGGACATCACCATTGCTCCGAAACCACATGGTGTGGCGCGATGTGGCCCTCAAGCTGAAACAACGGGCAACCCACGACTGGGAGCAACCCACATCTGCAAAGACTGAGGCGGGAGTTCATCAATCGGGGCAGCTTCGGGTTTTATGATTGAATGACCATACCTAGAACCTCGTTAGGCAATAATTTCCGCCCAACGCCATTTAAGCAGAAAATTCAGCCCGTTTTTGCAAAGAACGCCCAAGCTGCAGCCTCGATTGTCAAAAACGCCGAGGTACAATCACATGCATTCTTACATGCAGGAGGCAAAGCCAGAATTTGAATGACAAAAATTGAGAAAACAAACGCCTGCCACTTGACGCTAATCCCCAGTCTAAAGTTGTTGAAACTCATGTCGCTCACTCCCCCCCAAAAGGCTACCATTCCGTTGTCCACCCAACTACCGATTGTAGTTAGGGGGGAACGGGCAAGAACGCCTAAGTAACGGGCAAGAACGCCCAAGTAACGGGTAAGAACGCCTAAGTGACGGGACAAACACCTACGCAAAAATATATTAAAGCAATGAATCAAAGCATAGAAAAACTAAAAACATACAAAAAATATCACAAGAGAAACATTAAGTTAATTCCTGACAAACAAGTGTACCTCGCTATGAAAGTTCCTGGAATCAGTGGTGGGTGGATCCTCATGTATTTGAGCAATGCCACCAAAAGGACAATAACGCCCAGAGGGGGCAAGAACGCCTACAGGGGACAAGAACGCCTAAGCACGGGCAAAGTCGCCTCTACCCACAATAGGCAGAAATTTCTGCCCAAGAAGAGGTTATAGGTATTTGTATTAAGATCAGGCAAAGCAACAGTTCCAACATCAGCTTTTTTGGGTGCCACCCGGATGGATGACCACGGTGAGCTAAGAATCCTTGTAAATGCAAGCACCGCACCTGAAAAGCCTGGCCACAACAGAAAACGGAGCGCCCTGTGGCCAGTATCTTCTGAAGACATTTCGGACCCTGGTTGACCACAGAAATGACTGCTGATGAGGTCAACCCACCAGGGTAAAACGGGCTCCGGGTGTTGACCCACAGCCATATAAGATGCTGGCTTGTCATGGCTTGTCCAAATTTGCACAATAGAACGAGATAGAACGAGTCTGTCGCTTGCATCACTCTGATGACTTGTTCTTGAGCAGTGAACCATGTTGCAATGTTGCAGAAATGATCAGCGTCAGGTTCCAGCAGTGGAAGTTCAACATGCGACATGAAGACTTTCCAGGATATGAGGTGGGGTACCAATATGGAAGGTGACCACTTGGAATTGCACACCTGCATCAATGCACAAAAGACCTCTACTCGCCGCTCTACATTGATGCTCATTCTACCGCTTTGCAGCATCTCCATCATCTCATCCTCCCGAACCGCTGGCAAATGTCAGGTCGCTGAAGACTTTTTTCGCACCGCCGGACGGGGGGGGGGAACGCACTGCGTCGTTCCGAACACTCGTTCCTCACTCGTCACTCGAAAAGGAATCCTCGCTTTGCCTTGAAAGCGCGGAAAGCACATGATCACTTTGGACAAGACAAGTTTCCTGGTAAGCCAAACGTGAAAAAAGAGAAACCGAACTCCATCATCCAGGTGGCAGTTCATCATATCTGAAGGCACCTTGCCTTGCCAAGATGAACTGCAGCAGGCATCGACCACCTGTTCCATGGTGGGGCAGTGGCGTTGCACACAGCGAATTGGGGACGAGCTACCCATGGTTGTTGTTGCGAACATTTTTGGTTCTTGGTTCTTAAATCTCACAAAGTCAGACCGCCCCTTTCGTGGTCATCTTATAGGCCTGCAGCAATAATTACATGAAATTAGTACATAACATAAGCAAACACATATTATTAAAAGTGGATGTACAGTGCTTTTGGGTGAACGATGGTGAACGCCTTTCCAAGTCCTTCATTTTTGGAGGCCGGTCAACAACCCCAAAACTGACAGTCAAAATCACCCAAATCGTGCTGTTTTTCACACGCCAGGCCCACCTACCACTCCCCGCACGACCCACGAGAAGCAAAAAAGAGTGCAAAAACAGCTGGCACCCGCATCCTGAGGCGCTCGAGCCATTAGCTTTTTGCTCATGGACCGTGATCGTGGTGTTTACCATGTCTGTGGATTCTACCCGCTTCGGAGGTTTCATGGATGGCCCGGTTGATGCCAAAATGTGGCGGTTGTCGCAACTTGTGTTTATTCATGTTTCTTCTTAGCCAAGGACAAGCTATCAAAAACTGCAAAATATCGGACCAGGAAAAACATGAATGAGGGGTGTCACATGATACCAAACTGCTCCAAACCCCGTCGCCGTGTTCTGGAGCCCTTCAGAAAAACAAACGCAATGTTCAACGAACATGCCACACCTGGAAGCTTCAAGGTGCCTTGGATGCCAAGCATGCTGAAGCAGAAACCCAGCAACGAGGTCACATGGGAGCACCTCATCTGTCGGGTGCCGAGCACCTCTGTCGGCGTCAACGGATGTCCTTCTCCCCGTGACGGACGGTTCGAGCGGTGTTCGAGGGCGACTTGGGGGTCGAAGGAAAGTTTCATGTCAAAAATCAAGAAGATGTGTTTCTTCATCCCCCTGCGGAATTGGGGGTCAATCCCATGTGAACAGCATTTTATAGTGTCTTATTCCCAAGGGGATGTTTCTTCTGTAATAATAGACATCTTTGGAAGGATCAGGTGGGAAATCTTTGGAAAGCTGTTTTGTTTTAGCTGATCAGGTGGTTCGGAAGCTGTACCTTAGCCTTTGCACAGTTGATAGAGGTTGGGTTCTTACCATCAGCCTCCAGGTTGGTGTTCCACTCCAAGTATACTTCGATCACCAAACCATTCAGACGACCGACCGAAGGTGAGACCGAACGAACCCCCGGTTTCCCCAAAGAGGTGACCAGGCCCGATCGACCAGAACTTAGGCCCGACGGCGGATGCCGAAGGCACATGGAGATAATGCCCAGCGCATGAATGCTTTCGCTGGCATCATACTGGGCGGCTATGCCAAAGAGTAATGCAAGTGGTAGGCAAAGAAGGGCCACCTGAGCACGTGCTGCAAGGTGAATGTATCACTGTAGCCCCCCCCCAAAGCCTCGTGGTGATTTGCATGGCATGCTTGCCGCAAGCTTGCTTGCCCACTTTCTCCTGTCTCACACAACGTACGCAACGGCTGCTTCCCGTTTTCGCTTCGACCAGGAGCCGCCCTCGGCTGGCGTCCGACGCCGTCCACGTGGGACGTGGCCCACGTGACGCGGGCGGTCCACACTCAACAAGCCGAGTAGCCAGCTTTGTAATGACCTTCAGCAAGAACATGCGTTCGTCTACAGGGACCACGCAGAAGAGGATGACGAAGGAGATTCGAACCACAAATCCCACCACTGTAGAAACCAAAAGCACAATCTCCCACTTAATCAACCCACGATGAAGGAGGTTGTAGCATAGGCCGACCATCTCAGCGATGCCTGGTTGTTCAAAGGAACAAATGTAATCACGAATGAATGAGGGGAACACCACAGGACCAATCAGCCTGCAGATTGAGAAAACATATGCTTACAACTACCGAAAGACCCCTTACACCGCGAGTGGGTATCCTTGGCCTTCCCCAAAATGGCCCCGTTGGGCACTATCTTCCTGAATGGAAACAACTTTCAAACTTGGAGAGCAAAGACACTCATAAAGAGCAAAGGGCCCAAAACCACGATGGTCACCTCAGTTTCGCTCAATGAGCCTTGACACCATTGGCCTAGAGTTCTTGGAGTTGCCCGTCAACCATCTACACGCTCGCAAATCAAACAAGCATGCTCTTCGGGCCGGCACGGTGCATAATAATAGGAAAACGGTGCAACAAACTATTCTTTGTCTCAAACCAAATTGCCTTCTGAATGATGTTCCCTCTAAGCACACTGATACCACTCAGCTTGCTGCAGCACACTAAGGTCACTAAGGCAGGCAAATCTGATTATATACCTGCCCCGTCCCCTGTTGTATGAGTGAGTCACGGGACGTGTTTTTTGTGAAAGGGGGCATCCTGACACAAAAGCATGCGAGGACTCCTGCATAAACATTGCATAGATCCCCTATGGTATGAAAAATGAAAAGCACGAAGAGGGCAGTTGGTGATGTGTAGATTAAGATGTCAAAGAAAAGCTTCAACAAAATCACCTGTTTCCACACATGTTCCACACCTATATGTCATATCCCTTTGCTCCAAATCTCCAAGGAACTGCCATTTCAGCATGCCCAGCTCCTTCAATCTTCACTCCCTGATCTGCGGCCATCCGAAGCGAGGGAGACGAGATCCCCGCTGAAATGAGCACGAAGATGGCATGATCGACTTCAGGAACCTGCAGGATCCGGACGTCCTCGTCCGGTCCGTCCCGTTGACACTCTTTTCAGCTGCTGTAACCAAAGGACTTAAGGCCAAAAGTAAGGGCCTATACTCTTGCATGAATACAAGCAAAACTAGCAAAGTGTTGAGTCCTCTAGTTGTTGGAAACTATCGTTGTCATCCTGTGTCCTTTCTTTGATCTCCTGACCTTGTCTCCAATTTCATCCCAAATGTTCTGCATATCTGTGAGGTCGGAGCAAGACGCGAAACGAATGGAGCCTTTACAGCCTTTCCTGACATTGATGGATGGCCGCAGAACGGTTCCCTCTCTATGCTCACGGTAGTTGATGATGATTGATTGCAATTGAGGCTGTCCAATATCTCTTTGCTTGTTGGGTCTAACAAAAAAAGTCTCAACTCAAAACTCCAGGTCCATCAGTCAACCGAAAATCCTTGATGTTAATGTTATGTAGTCAACTCCAGGTCTATCAGGTCTCCAGGTCTATCAGTCAACCGAATTCTTTTTGGGGGACGGTCTCCCCCTGAATGTTCCCTTCATGTCCCAAGTCCCAAGTGGTTTCGAAACCGTCTCGGAGTCTCCGAAGCTGCTGCGCTTCCTCGCGGATCTGAAGGCCTGAGAGCAGAGCGGACACTTAACCTCTGTTGGAGTTGGCATGTGGAATCCTTTAGCAGTTGGGCTTTTCTCCTCGAGTGTACAGAGTTGTTTTCAGCAATGAATTTTGCCATCCAAAAGTACCACACATTAGCAATATAAAATCATATCGATGGTACACTTGCTGCCACAGCCTGCCACATCTCTATAATATCACTGACCTGCATCAATGTGGGCATCACAATCTGGGCGCTCAAAGTGTGCTCCAAATATGATTTCTTGCCATAAAAACCTATTGGTGGACCGTCAAGCAATGAGAACATCTCACACACCGCCGGCCCAGTTCCGCACGCTGCCGACCCGATATGAGCAACGCATCTTCTGTGCACTAAGCAGCCAGCGAAACTTGCTGAGCCCCTGTTCAATATCATTGGCTCATGCAGCATGGTTGAGCCCTGAAACCGCTCTGATCAGGTGGGAATCTCTATTGATCCCCTTAGGTTTCCGTAAGGTCCAGGACACCTCCAAGCTCGCATGATCAATCAGGCAAACAAAATCCATCCGAATAGATCGACTAATAGACTTGAAATCCAGGAGACTGTGTATCCGGTCCACCTCTGCAAAAAAGAAGAAGCACACAACGGCTCCCCAGCAGGCGCGGTGCATCATATGTTCCACGAAGCCGGACACGTATTCTGAGAGTTGGAATGAACGACAAAACACTGGAGACCCGAAAATACTTCAAAACAATATCTATAAGTCAAGCATGACCATACGATCATGAATCATGAATATGTATACTGTATATCGTTGTACATCTATAGTCTATGAGTCTAGTCTATGACCTAGAAAATAGCGCTGTCCGGTGTCATGTTTCTCCGGTCAAGGAAACTGATTCGCTTTTAAGAGATCCCCAAATATGGGAGTAACCAAACATGTCGGTTTGAAGGAATGATTGGAACTTCGACCTGAGACTCGTCAAAACCTGCCGTCTTCGCTCTGAGCATCTGAAAGTCATTCCAAAGGGATTTCCCCAACCCTCCAAGACAGCGGATGCCACGAGGCCAACCTTGTCAGAAGCAGAAGGAACAGCGGAACAAGACTTCAGCATCCAAAAGTGCCCAACCAGGAGTAGATTCCCTCGGATGGGTTATGGTGAGACTCAGATTCTTTTCAATCGATTCACTGGAACAAAGCTGAGGGTCAAAGACAGATCCCCTGGAAGACGAAAGCTACATAAAGCTACTGTATATCGAAAAGGGTTAGCGGTCCATGTAATTAACAGAATATCTATACATTGACACACACACACACACAACTGAAGGTCAAAGGGCACAATTGGCAATTAGTCGCCCTCGACTGCGTGCACATACGCTGAACAAAGCCGCTGCAGCTGCCACAATGGTTACGGCACCAGCCGCTTCCGCGTGGGTGTGCTTTGCTTGGACTGGGACATTCATGCCTGCAGCATGTATACAACAGGGCATGGCATGGCATGTAAAAAACTTGGTAAGAACTCAGCCATTGTGTTCCAGCAAATGCATGGAAATGTCAAGTAATTACGCTACTTACTTGCAAGGCTAACACAGAATGATCATTTACAGTTCAATGCACACGGCATATTTTCTTAAGACCTTTATCCCACGCGTCACGAAGCCTGTTCACTCCATGAAACCCGTCCGCCATGGAAGTCGTCGTCCAAAAGAAGCAATGACATTTGAAGGACCGTCAAAAAAGAACACACTTGTAAAAAATGATGAAAACTGAAAACTTAGAAGTATCCGACCTGTCTTGTGTTCATCCAAGCCGGGAGCGCAGACCCTAAGCTCTCCGCCCTGCACGGGTGTTTCGCAGACCCGAAGAAACATGCCAGAAACAAACCCGCGCCTATGAGGAAACCCAGCGCCAGCAAGGCGGTGGCGCGAGTCAAGGTCCAGAACATCAACGGGCGCGTGGAGGCGCGAGCAATTTGGATGATCTTTGCATCCTCTGAAGCCACGTAGGCCTCATAGCCGCACCAAAGGCGACTGTAGACGCTCTGGTGGCGATTGGGCACCACCAAGACATAGCGAGACGCTTGCAAAGCCAAGGCGAAGGGTGAGGTCTTGGGCGACTGCAACATGGAACCAATGTTCAAATTCTGTGGGTTCGCCAGCATGCAACACCACGCGTTGTGCGCTCTGGACGGCCACGAAGTGAGCACTTTCGAGAGAAATTCGAAGATGCCTTCCTGCCAAGCGTGGCTTACAAAAAGGTGGCAATCCAAACCGTCAGGATTTAGCATCAAGGCCCAACTCATCTTGCCAGCTTGCGCTGTCACTGGCTTGATGTACTGCTCATTCACCACATAGATGCTGGGGCCAAAGACCGGTTCATCCAGGCTATCACTGTCTTCGCTATCGAAACTCGATGAAAGCTTACCCTCCTGAGCACAGTCGGATGAAAGCAGTCTTGCAAAAACGAACCCCTGAGGTTTCCCCGCGGCCCACGGAGGAATCCGCTTTACTCTACCACAACTGATTGATTGGAATGATAGTCTGTGGAACGCGATGAAGTGGTCCTGGTCTTAGCCTTGACGGCATCTCCATTTCTTGGCTTTGAGAAAAACATGGACAATCACACACACAAACTTAGATCATGGCTCGCGAGAGCTGTATCAGTTTTGAACTCCACTGCGTTAGCCCTTTAAATGAATACTTAGCGCTTGACTTGAGAGAACGGCAAAAAGTGCTGGGTCAGCCAAACACAAGGTTTCAAACAAAACGCATTAGCCCTTGAAGATATTTTTAAAAATTGGTGCAGGTGCACAATGCAGCGTCCCACATTGCTTCACCACGAACTGACAGCGTCTTCGTTGGGCAGTGTCTCACTGCCCCCCCTGCTTGCTGTACATGGTGAGCTAAAATTTGAATTATCGAGAAGAACATTGTGGTTGTTTTCCTTTGGCAAAGGAATTGACACACACACAAAACACATCAAAACACATGGATCAATGAACTTGAACACTGTTTTCGCGACACTTTGCTCCTTTATGGCATTGTTCACCTCATGCTGCAAGTATCTCAGATCTGCTTTTGTGACACACCAGCGCTCAGGGGCCACGTATTCGTGCAAGCAAATAGCTTCCAAGGTGCTAGTCCGCTGCCGACTACGCTCAAAACGCCGCGACATGGAAGGACTCCGCCCGGACATGGTTTTTAGACCTATCAGGGGATGGCCACCTGCTGTGGTTTTAAAAGTTCGGTTTTGAAGAAAAAATCGAGTCAGCCACGCATGAACATTGAATTTGCCCTTAACTCACCAAACAACCTTCTTTGGTGTGGCATGTAGTTGAAAACGAAGCAGTCCAATATTTTATGCAGGGCTCAACACCCTCAAACAGGCTTTGGGTAGCCAACATAGTAGTAGCACCATGATTTTCCGCTACAGTACGTGCCATGGACCATGATCGCGAATGTATAATAACGCCGCTCTTCGGCTGGAGCCAAGCCATGGGCACTGCCTGGATGCTGCAGCTCTGAGGGAAACAACCGGACCTCTGAAACACGCAACGGCCCCCTAGGCCCCTTGTTAGTTCTTGGTTCCCACCCTCTTGATGCAGGCTGTCAGTCGCGCTGATTCTGAAGTTCTTTGATGTGCTTTGCTTTTGTCCATCATGACTTCCGGAGCTTGGAGCCACTCAAGTGATCTTTGATCTCTGCATCTCTTGGAGCCACTCTTTTTCTCCCACTCGTGGTCCATCTGGACCCGGTCTGCGGTCGTCTTCATCTCTCAGGTTCATCCTCACTCTCAAGGATCTCATTCTCCGTCGCCCAGATCTTGCAGGTCTGTCGCGCCAGGAAATACCGCACCAAGCATTGGCCACCTGGATGGACTCAGGACGAAAAAAGAAACGATGGAAATCCACGGTTAGACCTCCATTCAGATATGTTTTGTGTTGACCCAGTGGATTTGCACGTTCGCTTTTTGCAAGGACAAGCACTTCAATTTGGGTCCAGCCGCCTGTCTCCTGATTTCACGTGGCAGCAAAACCGCGGGCCGTGTTCCCCCAAAACACGACCAGGCCGGGGAATGGAGCTAGAGTCTACAGTACATGCTGAATTGATCATCGGAGCTGTTTGGGATTCCGAATCCTGGCCCAAAGGCTGCAGGATTTGGAAGCAGCAGTTTAAACACGACCACCTGTTTAATCGGTGCAAATGCAAAGCAAATGCAGGGCTGAGATGTCGTTGAAACGGAACCAAAACCACCGGTGGCCTATTGGAGAGGCCCCAGTGGTGCGCCCATGATCAACTCACTGGGGGTCGCAACTGGAGGCCAATGTTCACTCTTTTCTTATGAGTCCAGGCGTCCAAGGCTCGCGTAAGCAAACAGAACTTAGGGCTTGGATGATCAAGTTTATAGCAAGTTTACGATTCAGGGCTCAGTCCAACGACCACCAGTGAGACGAGACGCCCCCGAGACGATACTTCAGTGCCCTCGTTGCCTGGCAGTGCCAACGTGCCCTCGATGCCAATCAGGGCGAAGCTGAGGCCAACGGCCATCATGATGTGAGAAGACCTGAAGTGAGCTAAGCACGACAGCAGCAACTGTATAGAAACCAAGCCAAATAGATAAACCATGAACGCAATTGGTTCAAGGGGATTGACATTGCATGAAGCTGCAATCTATGTCCATATCCATCTATATCTATATCTAACCTAACATGATATCCGATATCCAGATTTCCCCGTGTATCAATCTCTAAGGCAAAGCCTGTTCTGCACTTGTGAGCGACTTCGTCACGAACAGAATGGTCTACAATATACCTGGCACCATGAACTGTGAGATTTCGACCATGGGATTTGGAGGCTTGGTGCAACAGGGATACCTGTTAATATAATTGCAATTGATTTACGCGTCTGCGTCATGCTTCAACAGCCTGTTTAGAGTTTAGAGCCCTGTTAAAGGGGCGGGACTTGACGGAAACCACTAAATTCCAATGGACCGGACCAATAGCATCCATCGTTTTTTGCCTGGTCCGATCTGATCCATGAACCATATTACTTTCAAGATGCAGAACACACAACCAGTTCAAGGGAGTTGGGTGGTTGTTGAACCTCATGTGAGGCTAATGAGGACACCCCACAAGTCCCCCTTCCCTGCCAAAAAGATCAAACAAAAACTGGTATATATATATATATATATGTGGAACTTTCACCTTGAGAACTCCTTGAAGGGCCTGTAGCACTACTGCAAGATGATCCTGCTCTAATTACACCACATAGCGTGCTTTCGCATATTAAAGAGTCATGAAACGAAGTGTCCCCAGCAGCGATACACGGATCCGGTCCAGGATTCGTGGATTCGACCGTGATCCGAAAGGAAAGTGTCCTGGTGGGGTGGAAAGCCACAGCAATCAGAGGTGGTGCCTTCATGCGCTTTGATCATTTCGATCCAAACTTGTTGGGTGGACTCGCTAGTCTGACCGCCGCGGCGCGTGAAAGCCATCTGCAAAGCCATCTGTGAGGAGCAATTTTCCCACCTTGCCATGATGGCGAGTCGTCCGAGCAGTCGGGTGCAAAGAGGTCCACAACCCATCCGACCACCACAAGGCTCAAAAACTGTGCTGGTAGGTTCGAAGCCATCGCTATTAGGTTGGAGCGCCATCGCTACTAGGTTGGAGGCCGGCGGCCATCGCTGTTAGGTTGGAGGGCAATTCGGCCTTTAAAACATGTGTCAAACTGAGTCAGAGTCACCCAGGGTGCCACAGAATGCTTGGCTTTTTTGCCAAATCAATCTGGGATGGTGTGTTTCCAGCACGAAAAAATACACACTTACAAAAAACATAACATTAAATAAACTATAGATATTTGTTGGCATGAAATTTTAAAATAACATGTAAATAAACACCTACAATGTGTACCTTGTATGATTCTTGGATTATAAGATTCAATGTTAACATTAAATCATACATGTCTTTAACCTTCCACTAACATGGAAACTGCTAATGTGCCCTTTCCCAACAATGTTCCACTAACATGGAACTCTTGGAAGGGTTTCTGCTCCTACAAGTCTTGACTAACATAGCACCTGAGAATGCAAATTCAAAAAGTTACACTAACATGGATGGTATTGTTTTTTTGATTCTCAGCTTCTAGTACAAAATAGCGGGATCGAGTATAACAGGGGTCATGTATACAGTACGAGATCGATGGATGGTTCGCAACTCAAAGGATCGATGCTTCGCATGATCCACGGCGGGGCGGTCATCGAAGCTGCAATTTTCCACGGCGGTCGGCGAAAAAGCAGTGACAACGAGGCTTCAATGGAGCTACCAATTCAGTTTTCTTCGTGTTCAACAGTGTGTTCTGCATCATTCAACTGTTCAAACAAGATTTGGGACAAAGAAACATGTCTTAAAACCCGCAGCGACAGTCGAGAAACAATTATATAAAATATACTTACAAATTTAATCAACTTTACATACTAGAGTGACATACACAGCCTTGCTATCAAAACGCATACCAAGAAAAATGGATAACAGGGCGATACTCCAGTGGAAACAGGATCATCAAGAGAGTTGAGATTGTTTTCTTTTCAGAAAAAAAAAGAAAAACAAACACATATGCCTTTTCAGTTGCCATGTTTTCAGAAGTGCGCCCACCCCCAACTTGCAGCATCCATCAGGGCACTGCATGGCGATTCCAACCAGGACGGCCAAAGGGATGAAGACCAGGGGCATCAGCTTCCTGGTTGGAATGCAGCCAGGATGGATGATAGTCAGTCGACCCTCACCTTGTATCTGCCTCACACCCGGGGGGGCCTCAAGTCTGAGGTGCTTTAACAACCTGCGAAGGAAATCAACATCGAACCCCCTTGAATCACTGAAGATGATTAAACTGCTTATGGACTGTTCTTTGTTGGTTTCCTTTTAACTAATGGCTTCGGATGGTACGGCTTGAAGTCCTTGGAGTCATTGCCACATGTGTACTGATGGCATTGAAGCAAAACTTGACACTTTTCAGGCCATTGAATCAACAGTGCAGAAGACTATCAGCTCATCTACAAACCGATGAGGATGGCTTGGTGCCGCTCATGACGCTCAAGTGCGAAACAAGCTTCGTGAGGACCTTCAACATATAGCTCCGCCTGGTTGGTCCGTGGCAGCATGCAAAAGCAACATAAAGCAACCATTTGCAAGTTGCAACTTTTGGGGTACAGAAGGTCTTCTCACCTAGTATGGCAGCTATGCCAGCCATGCCTCAGACCTTTTTGTTGAGTGTTGGGAGTCGAAATTCCTATCGTGGCCGGACCTTC